TTCCAGTCATTTTTATTTACACACGCTTCCGTTTAATTTGCGAACTCAGTGTGAATTGAAAGCATTCACAATTCTAACTGAACGTAAATTTCAAATTACTAAAGTAGTTAAGAATGCATTGATAAGCGATGTAATAAACTATTTCACTAATAGAATATACTGAGCTTACATTAGTTACACAACATTAGTAAGTTAGGAAAGAGAGTGGGCAATGCAAAAAGCAACAAGCACAAGTAAGGAAGAGCTACGTTCGGGTATCGCCTAACATTTTATACGCTCCCAACTTGCAACATGCAAGGAGCAAAGCGAAGGAAATACTCACAAGTACATAAGGATTGCTAGTTACATGGTGTTCCAGACGTGTTTGCACCCGATTTTATTTATTCTAAGTATAAATGTGCACCATTATAAACAAAATACGCGCCTTCAATTTTTAGTTTAACCTCATTTTTAATTTATATGCTGGATAGTGAGTGTTTCAAATAGAATTTTAGATTGTTTTATATGTGAAGTAGGTAGTCCGATTTCGCCCCAGGCACTACAGTTAGTTGAAATTGGTCGGGCAGATCGCGAGATTCGTGAGTTTGCTTAAAACGCATCGTCCAGTATTTATCGCGGCTACATTAAAGGCCTTTCATACAATCTCGGGGCAAATTTTGGCAAAATTGGCGTAATCATTTTTCATTTATCGCGTAATTTTTAACAGTAAGCAGTGGGTAAATTTAGTTATTGCAGCTTTAGTAGTTTGGGAGATATGTACATTAACTTATAGGGAGGCGAAGCACGAACTATTTTCAAAATTTTTTGCGAACAAGTGCCCGATGCTACTATAACCCCCAGTATATTAGAGTTTTATGGGCAGAAATATATCGTGACTGTAATCCGATTGTGATGCCTGCCACATATTGTCACTCGGGTTTATCATGCATGAACAGCTCCCAACATTGCTCTGAATCATCAACATCAAGATCTTCACTGAAAGATTTGTGCCACTCAAATACTTTTATTCCTGATAAAACATTTTCAAAAAACACTTCTGCAACATTTTTAACTGTTACATAACCACGATTCCATTGGAAATAGAAAATTTCAAGAAAAAGTCAGACAAAAATTTCACGTCTTAAACAAACAGCTCACCAAATAGGCACTAATTGGCAAGAGGCGAATGAATTTCAAAGGTTGCACCCAACATTCTAAAGCATTTTGTATCAATTCGGTTTGTGCGCGTAGTTTAAATGGATCAGGTTAGGTCAAATTCGAGCAACTGAGATACGGAAAAACAACTAGTTCACTTTGCTAAGATCCCTAAGAAACAGTGGATTAGACGTCGAGCAGTGATGACGATCTTGTGAAAAGCAGACGAATGTGTTGCATTCAGATTACTGATCCACTACTAACTCGCTAGTATTCTGACTATTTCAATATCATAGAACCATATGACTCAATATAATAATTTTTGCAAGTATTACACCCACACTTAGATATGTATGTGCCTACATAAACAACCGCATACACGTATGTGAACAAAGGCTTCCTGGTACGAAATTCCACAATCAAGAAAATATATATGTCATTACGTGAAAAAATGGGGGAAAATAGAAAAAACGTTAAACAACAGAATTTAAATATTAGAACTTGATCTTTGGTCAGTCACTTTATATAGCAGCTATACGAGTACACTTTGGTGAGTTGAACAATTTGTTCGAGGATTGTCTTAAACAAAAATCCATGCAGAGTTTCGTAAAACTTTTGTTTTAAAATGAAAAAAAAATTACCGATGTCTTACTGGATCTAACACCCTATTTCACGACAAATCCGCAATGGGTTCCAGGACATAGAGACAGAACAGTCATTACACTGCAATTAGACTTCGAAAAAGTAGGAACTTATATGCTTCTGGCTACTTGCAGATATTCAATCGACAAATTTATAATATTTAAATAGAGCTTGGGTCTCTTTGGAATCAATCGCTGACTTGCAAGCAAACGTGGCATGAATAAAATATGACCTATGCCGACTATTAGAATTTAAAAGGAACGATGTAAGCTAAGCTTCTAAGCACGATAACATGACAGTGTCATATTGACAGGTAGACCAGTAGGCTGTGAACATGATTTAACGACTGTTATAGAAGCTCCATACGGTTGAGGACGGTGTATTCTTCACGACGTTTTGGAGGTTGCGCAGATAACACTTTTCGAACTGACGAACTTTATGAAGAGAGCGCTGTGGTTCAGAGAGGAGACTGTAGAGTAAGCGAACTGTAGCTCCGGTTGTATTACCTTTGATGCGTAGTTAGACAGCCACTCTAGCCAACTACCTATCTACCTAACATGATTAAATTACTAACCGTGTGCATTTCCAACTTGAAATACCCGCAATACTAAGCTTGAATTAGCTTTAAAGACAGATTACATGCAAAATTTCTTATAGTGCTGACACAAAGCACTCATATTTATAAAGCTTACTATAATTTATTGCTGTTCTCTCGCACAATTACATAATAACCTACAAGCACTTAACATAAGCACACTTCTCGTTCTCTCCCATAGCATACTCTGCCGTTCACGTATCACACACCACCCCGCCCTAGCTGTTATGCACCGACGCCTCCACACATACTTGGAATTACACTTATGGCTTGATAGCAATAAATATTCATTCATATTTGTAATTTGTGCGCTCTCTGGCTGCAGTTTTCTGCCTCACGCTGATTTCTTATATATCTCTCGTGGTGTCGTTGTTGTTGTTGCAGTTATTATTGTTAAACCTTTTGACTTACAACAATGCGGCGACGATAATTTATGAGCTACATGTGTGAGGATTGTACGGTGGCAGGTAAAAACTGCCACACAACACACACACACACATACTCACATACACAGTGGCTCTGCTGTGCAATGCTTAACATACATTTGAAATGAGCATACAAAAACGGCATAGTTAATGTCATCAGCAGCAACAACGCTAACAAATAAGCAAAATAATTGCTGTGCTGTAATAATGCTTTTTATTTATTGATTCAAAATTAAAATATGGCATTTACAGTATATATTGTATATGCATACATGGTATGCTGTTACAGATGTATGTGTACCAGGCTATGTGTAGTGCGCAATTTGCGGTAAAAAAGTTTCATTGTATTGTTGTAAGTGAAATATGTCAGGCATGCAAAACAATAAAATACCGTAACATAAGTTATGACAGTCAGCACAGGATATGACATGATGCATATGTACATACTTATATGTATACAAGTGCAGAAACACCGCACTATATATTTAAGTAGTATTGGCTAATTATTTATACTTATTAATTGAAACGTTACAACTTAGTGAGCGAGGCTTCTTGTTTTCATTTCCCTGAATACTATAGGCAATATTGTTGTGAGAAATTCCTAGCTCAGTTTGTTCATCAAATGAAAGCTTGTGTGCTCTTGCCACATTTAACTTTCATTAGGTCCACCAATACTGCTTCCACCATAAATAACGTTTGTGTTATTTAATCTCTCACGATATTTGTGCGTAACTTGATTATTATGTCATTGTTTCAATATTTCGAACAAATGTTAGAAAGCTATTGACGTTGTCCTTATTTAGGTATAAGTACGTCGTTTATTTTAAGCTTAAACAAAAACAATTTTTTCACTGAAGTTTTCGAGTTTTGAAAAAGTGTTTTTGCTGGTAGTTCTTCTTCATTAACTGAAGAGGTTATATGGGTTTCATAAAATCGTATTCTTTTATTATCTTATTACGTTCTATAGCACCTCTAAAGAATACTACCTACATTTTCAATTTGATCCGAGTAACATATTCGGAGTTACAGCCTTGAGAACTTGTGTGCACGCGTCTATTTACGCTAGGTGCGCCGTCTTTAAACAAGTTTTTCGTGAGAAACTGTGTCTTTGAAGTCGGTCGAAAAGATTTCTCGAGAACTATTCAACCGATCTTCTTGAAATCTTACACAGGTCTTTGAGATACAATTCTTAAAGACCTGGACGAATGAATTTTTTTTCGATTACAATTATTTAAAAAAACATCTCCCAAAGTTTTCACTGATAATTTAATTTTTATTTTTAATAACTGCCAAAAATTCAAAAATTAAATTTTCAGTTTTTTTTTTCTTCCTCCAAGTTTTCCGTTAAGGCTTTAACTAAAACACATTTGATCCTGTAAAAAGTTATCCTGCCAACGTGACGCATCTTTTTTCCGTGGGATCACCGGAAATGGCGGCGCAACGACAGAGTTAAATTTTTTTTTTTTTTTTAATTTAGAATTTCGTTCTTAATAGTGTATGTTTGTAACAATAAAAAATTCTAATAAAATATATCTAATAAAATATATATAATTTTTTATAAATATATAATTTTTTATAAGAGAAAAAATTTGTTGAAAAAAAACTGTTTTTTGCCCGAGTAAACCCATATAACCCCTCAAAATCAATTCTGTTACGGTTTTCTCCACATAATGTGCCAAAAGAGGTTTATACAATTTAAAAGTGATGATGCAGGCTTTGAAGACGAGAAAATTCCTGTGCGACCGAAAAAGTTGTAGGAGGAGGGGAAAAGTTTGCAGATTCTTTATGAGTCACTGAAGCAACCAAGATACTCAATTTTGTATGGGATTGTAGC